CTCAGGCCATTCGCCTTTGGAGCCCTATGGTTTCACGCAAGAATATGAAGCCCTCCGAAGGCGCTCTTCTATTGTCGGGCATGACTAAAACAGAGGGTTTCCAATTTAGTCATGCCCATAACTATGAGCATGACCAAACCCTGTGTTTTAGTCATGCCCACAACGCTGGTTCCCTATGTTTGGTCATGCCTAACAATAGGAGTGACGCAGGAGAGAACAAAGGCTAGTCATGCTATTTCGAGAAGGCATGACCATCATTATAATCATCAGAACCGCCCTGTGTTATTTCGTGAACGCGAATGCGAGGCATCGATGGCGGCGCTGCTATGCCTAGTTCCACGAGATGGGAGGTAATTCTCTGTAAGTAAAATGCAAACAAAAGCTTATTGCCAAGCAGCCACGACTCATGTTAATCTCCAGAACATTTTATGGCAATGACAGGGTTTTTCAGCCTTAGTGGTGTTGCACTATGTGGAGAAGTGACAGGCACGAAAGGCCATTTTTGGACATAAAATCAGCGAGCAGGATCATTATATGCAACCAAACCAAACTCTCAGCCTTTTCAGTAATCAATTGTTACTAGCTGAACATTTGCAGAGAATCTTCTTGATTTAATGGATGCCAAATCTTGGTGCTGTTCACTGGAGATGGATGGAGGAGATAGCAGTGTTATTTTCCAAACCAACAGATTTGAGAGCTTAAACTTTCCAGACTTTTAGCAGCATATTCAGAAACTGTTAAGCCCTTTAAAAGCATTGTTACCATATTATGATTAAGACAATAAGATTGTAGTTAATGGATAGGGAATGCCAGAACTTGCTTAAAGTTATTCTTCAATTTTTTATTCATTATCACATGCAATAACACTGTTTTTACACACAATTAAAGTCAAACTCAAAGCTCTACTGACTTTACTGACAAGTCAAGCATGTTACTGATCTTGTTAGTTAAACAGTTTTATTTCATTATTACAACTTGTGTTGTATTTGAAAATTTGCAAGATCAAATTATTTCATTTACAACCCTTGTTTGCTAGATTTAGTAAGGACAATCCCATCATGTGGATATTTGCCACAAGTATATGTGGAAACATCAATGTTTTTGTTAAGCTAAACTTATTTTGCAAGGTATTTTTCTATTAAGTCTAACTTTGCAGAAAACATTTTGCAACTAGGCCTATGCATCTATATTTAGTCTAATCATCTCAATATATACACATGCCATATACTACCAATTTGTTTATATACATCATCAGTTCTATTTGGACGGTGCTGTAGTTTAATCGTGATGAGCTTTAAAAGTACCTTCGAATACGATGATGTAATAAGACTATTAGTGGAAAAGATACCAAAAAGCTCCCATTCAGTTCTATGTGATTTATGTTTCATTTACAAATTTTAGCTTGTTTCTAAATTATACAATGAATTCAGCCTGCAAATTGAAAAAATTGGGAGAACCAACAAATATTTGATTTAGCTAAGTTATCTACTATATCTAAACTAAATGTTTTTTAATGTCTTTTGTACAGTTCTGTTTGGAAATATGTCAGAACTCTGTCTGTATAAAATAACAAAACAAAACACAAACAGATAAAGTGCAACAGCAAATAATAAGATAATGTCAATTTCATAGAGAATTAACAAGAAATGTATCTGCATATAGAAAATACAAAACAGTGTCACAGCTATAAGATAAAGGTCATTTCATGGTTTAACAAGATGATTGCTATGAAATAAGAAAAGCTATTTCCAAAAGTTAATCAAAATTTTTTTTATAAGTCACAAGCCTTAGAATAAAAATTTCCAAAAGGAACTCATCAACTAAAAAATTGGGCGTGGTAAAATTTGGCCACACCCATATTTTTTTCAAATTTAAGGGGTGGGCATGACCACTGCTATTTGGCTAGCTACGCCACTGTTGCCGACAAGTTTGAATATTCACCGAAAAAGATTCCACACAAGGCTAAAAATCATACTTTTTGAGATAAAACGTTGTCCAAAATTGCATTTTACAGTAGCCCAGCCAAAGCTTGTTCTTAATTTGTTCCTAACTTGTGGCCAATTTTGAGGCTCGTGTTCTTATGAAATTGTTGCTTAAATACGTCCCCTGGCTTTTCTGCATCGAAAGTGAGTGCATCGAAAACATTCAGCCTGAGCCGAGTGACCAAGAAAGATTAAGTGTCTCTGCACGGAATAAAATGCTATGAAATGGCACTTCAGAGACAAGGACCCCACAAAAAGACCTCCGTAAAAGCAAACAGCTCACAGTCAATCAAAAGTTTTGAATTTTGAAATTATTTAAGACTTCATATGGCGCCGAGAATATTTTTGCTCAACTTCAAAAATGTATCTTTATTATTCGTCTTGCTTTGGAGTCACTTTTCTTTAGGATTTTTTCTCTTTAAAGAAATAATTGCAGATCAAGTATATCTTAACAAAATCACCATAAAATCAACAGAATCACCACGCCACGTTGCAGAAGACCAATGCAAACGATTTTAATTAAATACCAAGTAAAATGCTATGAAAAACAATTGCTTGCACTCAATCCTCGTACATACCGTAAATCCTCGAATTAGCCCGACGAGGGCTTATTCGAGAGGGGGGCTTGTACAAGTGGGGAGGGCTTATGAAATTATTGTAGACAATAAGAAGACATTATTAAAAGACCTTGTTTATTTTAGTAGGAATTTCTTTATGAGCATTCAACTTATTACTACCAAAAGTACGAATTTGTCGTGGTTGTTCAATAAAACGCCATAGGCAACCTCAGATGGCAAAAACCGTCAAACTAAGGGGTCCAATTCGAGAATACACGGTAGCAGTGGGGGCTTATTCGAGGGGGGGCTTATTGACAGTTTGTAGTTTAGAGTGGGGGCTTATTCGAGGGGAGGGCTTTTTCGAGGGGGGGCCAATTCGAGGATTTACGGTAATAAACTAAAATGCTGACAGCACGTACTCGGTGAGTTGGCGCAGGTCTACTAGGAGCCACGCAAAGGCATGAACACCCATAAAACGAATAAAATTTGAATACCCTGCTGGCTTGCTGAACTTTTTCACCGACAAACGGCAGTGGGATTTTCAATAATAACTTTGGAATACGCTTTTAAGCTGTTTATTTCTTTCCAAATCTTTCTATTCCAAAACAGTATTTCATGGATATGACGCCCTTTTAATGTCGACTTACTTAAATCAATTCCGGAAACTAGAAGCGAAATTGAAATTTGTTTATTTGCACAATCAAAAAGAAAGATTTCTTCAAAAAGCAGTCACATTCTCGAATCAAAATTATGGCAAAAAAGACAGAGGATTTGGGACACGAATGAAAAATCTTAAATATCACATACGGTCAACATCGCTTTACAAGTGACATTATCTAACCACTCATTGATAGACAAACCAACAGATTTCAGAAAGCCCGACACGACCAAATTTAGTTATAACCTTCGTAAAATTTCGACATAAAATCGTCCTTCTTTTCTCTTTCCGTTTCTTTAAAATATCTCATAATATGGGTGCTTTGCTTCCAGATGTTGTGTGTTTCTTCCAGCTCCAATGTTCCCTGTGAATGCAAAGAAAATCCCCCATTAGAACAAACCTTCATACAAAGAGAACTAGAGGATATGGTTCTGGAGCAAGTAATGGGGTGGGTAAAGCATTGATTTGTTTGGGGTGTATTGTTTTGAAAAATAAATTGGCTCTCGAAAAAACTTTGCAAAAACAAAGTAGAAAACGGTTACTTTTGCCATTGAAAAGGCTTAGCCCTCTTCTAGGCAATCCCAGCTCTACAGCCCTGGTTTGCCACCAGTTGGTGGCCAATAAACATTCTTTTACATCTACTTTTCTAACTTTTCTGATTATTCATACTTTCAGGTATTACCGAAAGAGATGAAATGCCCTTGAAATTGTCAATTACTAAAAGCTGAAAAAGCAAAAATTTCTTAGATATTTATCGCAGATCTTTAATGCAGTTCTTGTTTCAAGCCAATACATTTTTCTCTCGTTTTACAAGTTCGCAGAGGAAGTAACAGTGGCGGCCCGACAGGGGGGCCGGGGGGCCAGGGCTGACATTTTTAGAGGGGCGCCAAAGCTTGTATAGGGCGCCGAAAACTCCGACTTGTCTTGTAATTAGGTATCTAGGAGGCCAGCAAAGACAAAAAAGACGCCATAAAATTCAAAACTTTATTGGGGCGCACGCCCCCATACCCCCTAGAACATTCTCATTTCAAGGGCACGTCTTTGTGCCCTTTAGTACTGTATTATCCAGACAAAACATTTGTACTGTTCGCAGGGGCGAAAAAAATATTCGATTTTTTAGAGGATTGTCGGGAAACTTACTTAGTTAAATTCTTTCATATGGAGAACACAGCACTCATAGTGTGCACAGACTGTGTTTAGGATGTCCGGACTCAAGCCCCCCTTTCAGGGAAAATTTTGATTTTCGATGAGTCTCTTTGGCTCTGCTGGCCTTCAGAGACCTGCTCATGTGGGGGTCAGTAGATTTTGTCTCAGTGCTTCATTTCTCATAAAAGTACCAATTTGTCTCGACGATACAAAGATAGATGGATTCTTTTCCTTATTGCAAAGTAATGAAATCCATTTTAAGACTGGAATTAATCAAACGTGCTAAAAGGATGCCTTAGAAATAGCAAAATTTTTAATCGATTTCAAGAAAATGACTGCTAGAAATATTTTGAAATGTATTTTAAGCCAATCTAAAGGGCATGGTCGCAAAACTTTTCTGCTCGCTCCGCTCGCACGAAACCCTCTTTTATGCAGAGTTATACCAAGGGCCTCCGACAACCTCTCGCCGGCCCTTCCCAATGTTAGTTTTTTAGTCAGATAAAGCTATTAACTCGCCCCCCCCCCACTTTGAATTTCTTGGCACCGCCCCTATACTGCCAATATTCTCAGGAAAAAGACAATAGTGTTAGTTATGGATGGCACCATTTTGACGCTGCCCAAGGCGAAAAGGGCCAGGCCGCCACTGGGTAGTAAACGCCATTTATGGTCACAAGAAACAGCCTCCATTTTGCTACTTCAAAATGCTTTCTGTTTAAAGCTCATATTCAAAATATGGTACACAAATAATGATTCAAAAGAATCCGAAAATCTACTACGCTAGGGAAATCAAGACAATTGTGCACTGAAAATTTACAGGAAAGTTATTGGTGTTCTTTGTCCTTTTTCACAATATAGAAGCATCAAAGAATTTACCATTTCATCTTTTGTTCTTGATCGAATGAAAAGTTTTACAATTTTCGAAGGGCTAAATGTCCTTTGCTTTTTGGAACTGAAAAGGATGATTTGAGGGCAAGTACATATGTCCGATTCGTAAGATAAAACGCTCGTCTTTGATCAAATACTTCTGCTGCTGCTTCTTTGATCAATGTTTTGTGGCTTCTCATCACTTTTTTCATAGCAATTTATGATGAGATTTAAGGAGGTCTACAAAGTGCATGGGGGAGCTTAGCATACACCCGTTAAGAAGCGTTGAGAATTTCTAGCAATGAAAGATTTGTAATGTTTTCAATTGAATTGGCTACCCGTTGTTTCTTAAAAAAATCCTACTTTCAATTGTTGCGATCAACAGATACAGGGAACGATTTTTCAAAACTTCAGGCTCAATCAATACTGACGGTAAAATTCAAACTTCTTATCCAGAAATTCACCTTGCCTGTTTGAAATAATCTAATTCAACTTAACCCCTGTCAAAAAGGAAACAAACGATGCAATCATGCAATTTGAGATCCAGTGGTGACAGGGATTCGCAACTAAAAACGATTAGAAGATATGCCTGCTCCAGAGTTTGAATTTTAAAAAGGTCTAAGATTTTTACTTTTAAAATCCCAAAATCCTAAGCTATAAAATTTACACATTTGGTCATTATAGTTTGAAAAAATTCCAAGTGAACAAAATTTGAAAGTGAACAAAATTCCAAGTGAAAAAATTCCAAGTTTTCCAACTACAATTGGATTTTCCAACCTTTGGGGCGTCACGCCCCCCACGCCCCCCCTATTATTTACGTGTCTGGATAAACGTTGATGAAAATTTCCCTGTAGTGTCTCCTTCCCTGCTTGCTTCTGATTTGTTCTTAGGTTTTTGACAATTTGCAATTTGTAATTCTCGTGTTCGTATAGAATTGCATATATAAAAAATTTATTTAATGTGCCTGTGACATGATTTTTTTTTATTCTCTTAATTGAAGCGTTGCACTGCTCTTATAGTAGATCTGAACTTTTTTTGAAACAAAAGCGTTTTGATATTGAAATTAAGCAAAATAGTGCGGCCTAGTCAAGTCGCTTTATCATCATTTGCCGTTCTCTTGTGACGTCATGGGGGGAACTCGTTATTTTAACAATGTAAGCGTTAACTTCACAAATCTCATCCTCGCTGCCACTACCTTCTCTGGAAATATCGCTCATATTGGACCTGTTAGATTTCCCTCATTGACTACGATACAAAAACTTTAAGAAGGAGGCGATCTGGTCCCTCTCGTGACGTCACTGTCTACTCATTCTGAAAACCAAGATGGCGAATTTTGGCGTAGAAGATCGCCAATAACTCCTTAATTTCTCACGAAACGTAAAAACTTACCTCAGGAATGAAAATAACAGGCCCTTTTACATAAGAATAGATTTATAAACCAAAAGTACGAAAATCATGTCACAGGCACTTTAAGAAAATTGCATGAAAAATAACTGTCGTGAAGGTTACCTTTATGTAAATCTAGTTGCCTATACAGTGAGTGACTAGTTCAATTTTTATTCAGTTTACTTCATTCAGTTTTGAACTACAACAAACTGGTTTTAAAAGAATCATGACAAACGGGCAGGAAAATTAATGAATTAATTAGTGTTATGGGTGATGGTAGAAATACCATCGTTGGAAGGTCTGAAACATTAGGAGGGGGGGAGGGGGGCAACATAAAAATAGGACAGCTGAAACAAGACAAAATTAAAACTGGTAAACACATACTTATTATTTTGGAGTATGTCTGAGTTGATACTAAAATGTTACGTCTAAACTTTTGCAAAATACCGTTCTGCTTATTTTCTCCACCGTTTTGCGGTCACTGCAAGATCTTTTCAATTGAACTTACATCTTGAGATTCTTTGCATGTATTAACAATTATCTTATGTCATCTGAATATCGTCATGTTATCGGATATCGCAGCTTTTTTATGAATTCAGATATATTTCCATTCTTCAAAGAGTACGCAAGAAAAAGAATCTATAAACGGGGGCAACCGCTTTGTGACTTTAGTTACTACTTCTCTCAAATTATTCGTTCCCTGGAAATCTTCATTCAAACGAGCTAGAGGCAAGCACTTTTGGAATGCTATTTTCTTCTGATATCTGTAAATTTCAAGCAATAGCAAAGGAATAATTGATATACTTAGGGAAGCTGTGGTAACATTATTCAGACCTAAAAATTTTTATCTGCGTTAGAAATATACCATGGGTAATCCCAGAATACTTCACAACCCCCATTTGATCCTGACATTTTTCCTGGCTATCAAACCGCTTCTTGCATTCTGACTGGCTTTTAAACCGCTTCTCGCATTCTGACTGGCTTTTAAACCGATCAAATGAATTGTATCACAATCTATAAATCTACTTTAGGGGTGGAAGAAAAAGCAGCGCACATTTTGCTTGGTCCAATTTACAGTATAAAATACCATTATATGATATTCTATGGATATCTATTTTTTCAAATTCTTATAACACGCTATGAATCTTTTTCTCTTTGAAAAACAAAATCGAGACACAAGCTGTGGTTTCTTATAATAAGCGCCCGTCCCCTTCTAATAGCTGCCCACCCAAACTTGGCAGAATTAGAATTTACCTGATTTTATTCAGTGTAGAAAATGAGAGTTCATAAATGGGCTTTTCAGCTGTAGCGCAGGGGCAGACATATGGTCAAATATGGAGGGGGGCAAGCCTATTGTCTTAATAAAATGACGTCACATTTTACCTATTGTTTTAGAACAAAAGACCATTGTCCTCCAAAGTAATCGGGGCGACAGCTGTGACGTTTTTGTAGAAATGGGCTTTTACTTGATTAACACAAAGGTAGAAGATATGTTTTATTTACATTTTATATTTATGATATTTCTTTTTTATCAAAAAAAGAAGCTTGTGGTGAGGATGCCAGCATTTTGTTGTTAAAACTATTTAATTAAAACAGAGCTACCAAGAAAAGTTCTGCGTGTAGAAAATATGAATAAAAAACGTACATAAAAAGCAAGAAAAGTGTTCACAGCAACGATGTTTTTAGAAAATTGCAAAAATGACGAAGGGATTTCATGTTTTTTATCTTAATACGTCGAGACAGACAAGTAATCAAGCTATCGCATGAAAATTGCCTTTGATTTTTTCTACGAGAAATGCATCGTTTTATGCACAACTCTTCTCGTCATCGAAAAAAGCTATATTGAACGGTGTGTAATACGGAAAAGGCGATTAAATCTTTGTAGTTATCTTCTGTCCGATAATAGGCAAGCGACAGCCGTTTGAAGTTGGAATTTCATAGCGATCGACTAATTTGGCCGGAGAACTTTCTACAGGCATCGAAAAAGAGATATCGTTCATGAAATGCTGTTCATCTCTGTCGCCAAAACGAACAACTTTGCCGGCCATTGACGGTGAATTGAATTGTTCTGTATACGACAGGTCACTGTCCTCTATGTAATCAACGCTATTGTGTGTCAAGTTATTGTGTGTCAGCGCTGTAGGGAAACTCGTTATCGAAGGGAACGAATCAGAGACCAGTAGCGGTTCTACAATGTCATTCCTAAGTCGGGAAGATTCTATTTGGTCTATCGCGGTCGGGAACTCTTGCATCACATTTCGCCCTGTCACGTGAACGTTTCGCAGATCATTAGCACTTTTCTGCTTTCGTTTAACTCTGGAATTTGCATCTCGCTGTCCAGTCTTGCTTACGTACTTCGCCATTTGCCGTTTGTCTGAAAACAAACCAGTCGCAGATAGAGCACTGTCAATCTTGCTGTTGCCTTCAGCAGATTTGACTTTGCTTACGTAGTACATGAGCGCACTGTCATAAGCATACTGCTCCTCGTTGGATACATTACTGCATTCGATTCGGCCATTGCCATCACTACTCTTCATTTCTTGCAAGTGATCAGCCACCACCTGTACATCGGGACTAGCCGGACTGTCTTCGTCGTCTGATGGTTCAGGTGAAGGATACAACATGCTGCTAGATGTTGGCGTGGTGACTCTATGCACGTGTTTTTGATTCGAAGGTCTCTTGAACGGGGACAGGCTTACCCTGTTTATGGACTGCAAACTGCTCGTCAAGTGGTAAGTTTTCCCTTCGATGACCTTCTTACTCGGACTGTTTAGTCGGTAAACGTTCAGTGGTAAATTCTTAGAAGGCAATGTTGAATTCGCATTCCTTGTGCTCAAATTGCCTAGCTGTCTCTTAGAATCAGGTGTTGTTGAATTTGCGATAGAGTGTTTCGAGAGCTCTAACATTTTTCTAACTTGGATTCCTATAGGTATTTCCTTTTTCGTTTCCCATGCAAAACAGTGAGTAAGCGGCTGCGTTCTTGGCTTAGAAACTTCATTAGTTCCACGACATGCGAATCCTTTGCACAGTTTGTTTTTCGATTCACTAGACATAACGAAATTGCCTGTGCGCATGACAGGCGAACTTGAAATGTCACCAGACCTTGCAACGAGCTCTCCATCTTCTGCATCATGAACTTGCAGCGTTCCCAGACTGGAGAGTATTTCCCTAACACTGGGTATATCCATGCGATATCTCATTGCAGATGAATTGCGCTTCTTCCTCGGTTGAGTTCTTTTAGAAAACCTCAACATTTGCGAATTGCCTTGCTTCGACTTCACACTCTTTAGTGGCAAGGTTTTGCATGTCATCGGGTGGAAATAGATGCTGCTGCCATAGCCTTGCCAAAACTAAAAAATACAAGAAGCATTAAGGTGGTTGCAATGAAAAAGGAGTAAGAAACGCCTCTCAGCCGCAAAATTATCAACAGTTCACGATGGATCAAACATAATATTCTGTGCTACAATAATGTCATCGTTATAACATTCACGCATACGCTACGCACAATCATTCGCATCAGCAATTAAAATGTGCCACACGGTCTTACAAATAGCTTTAGCTGCGTGCTAAGTGTGTGTAGTTAATAACGGTTTGTTATTAACAGTAACACAAATGCGATTCAACCTTAAATGCGGGGCCGCAACCGGCAAACTGTAACGGGCAAAGAACATATCTGAAACTCTGCCTCAAGGAAGAAGATTAGTAACTTTATCATTTCGATGCATTCAGTCAATAAGGGAAACAAATATCGCCTTATTTCAGCTCTCAAAGAATCCTTACAATTAATTTTGAAAAACGTGTTTCCTCAATAATGTTACAACTCGCTGAGACTGAAGCACCTTGAGCTAGATAGCAAACATATAACCTGGCTTTTAAAGAAGGGATCTTGACCTTCCAGTCAACAGAATTATGCTTCTGTAAAAATCTTTTCTTCGTGACTGACAATCTATACCAGTGGTAATTGGAATTTACCAAACTTTCAGAAAATTTCACTGTAGGAATTGCATTTTAAGGACTTTACTCACAATTAGCCTTTTGGAAGGCTGACAAAACAGAATCAAAACTATTTACCATTAATACTGGGCTAAGATTAATGTGCCTTAAAGGTATACAGATAAAGAATGCGGCTATAGGAGATCTAATATAATAGGAGACCAAGATACAATGGCATCATCTTTTTCAGATTTTAATATAAACACATCACAGTTCTAATATATCTCTGGCAAACATTGTGCATAGCGCAGGGATTTCGAAAGCATCTGAAAGTTGGAAAGGCACAAACAGAAGGGGCATAAAAGTCTCAGAAAAGGGGAACTTTTCTAAACGTTTGGGAAAGATGCCCCTTGGGCAACCCCAGTTCCAATGTCCCAGAATAAACAAGAATCATTCTCTTGAAGTCTAACCTCTGTACTTGATTCTGGCTCGACAGGTGATTTTTCATCTTGATTGACAATTTCACCTTGCACAACATCAGCTGTAGATTCAGTGACACGCGTAGGTCCATTGGTTTGTCCTTGACGGTCACTTTCACATGTCTCATCTTTACAGACAAGCAGAGGACTCTCCTGGAAATGCCTAAAAATTGACGAACACAAAAATAAATCTCCTGGCTTAGAAAATCTTAGAGTGAAATCCTCTGTTGCTAAATATTTATATGAACATTGAATTTTTGTTACTCCTTTAGTTCATTTTTCTTCTGCACTATTAATAAAAAGAAGCTTTTCATTTTCTGTTGGTCTTTTATCAAATATTGCAGCATTATGTCCGCAGGTTTATTGAAGACTTTTGGCAAAGTCCAAGCATAAAATATAACCAAAGACCACAGGACCAGACACAAATGTGGATCAAACCATAAAAGTTAAAGGTTAAAATTCAAATCAATGTACTAACAAATTTTAAAAAATTAATATCTATTAAATTGTTAAAATATCCTTCTCCACTCCATCTGAAACAATTTCAGTTGATAAACTCTTCTACATGTCGGAATCTGCTATTTGAAATGCATCCGCTTTCTCTTTGTCATTACAAGATGTGTCAGTTTTCAACTTTTCATAACCAGCATGGCAAAACCTATTTCCTTTCTGAAACATGATATTTCTTTATCAGCAAAACCATAAGTCAACAAGGGCAAAACCAACATCGAAATTAATTTAAGCTGATTCTTTTAGAATGCTTATAAAAAGACATAAAACACAATTGCGCTTTTTGTTATTATTCTTATAATAGCCCTGGATACTTAATTGAGGGTGGATCCATATTAAACAAAATTTGGCTTTAGAAGGGTGTTTATTGGAGAGAGATCAACAATAACTGACACATTACATCAAATAATTTAAATATCAAAATAGATAAATACTTACAAAGACTCGCTGTCTTCATTGACATTGATGGAAGACAAATACTCATCATTTCCATACTTCTTCACATATTCATTGTGGTAGCTTTCAACACTGCTAGCTTTCCGCTTTGAAACCCAAACTTCAATGTTAATATCACTAGAACCTTGTGGTACATTCTCATCATCCATTTCCAGTTTCACCAATGTATTTATATTCAATCTATTCAGGCACAATGAAACAAGAATAAAATGAGCAGCAAATATATAAATGTGGCAACATGAGTTACTTGTGCCCAGAACTCAATAAATAGTCCAACAGAACAATTTGATAAGCCTAAATTAATAATGTTGTCCTTTTCTCTCTCCCTTGATCATAATCAAGGCTCGTATAATTGAGCAACAAATTCTCAGATGTTAGAGAGGACAGCAGATAGAAAAGGAGGCAAATGCAGCCCTCTGAAGAAAGTAAGTGAAATTCTGGATTGTAACATAGTAAGATGATACAGTGAGAGCATAATCTAAAAGATGATTGGATGATTTCTTATTTAGTACCATAGCAGCACAACATGAATAAATTGGCTAGCTAATTTTCCTGATTTTTCAGGGTGGGATGTGGAGCAGAACAGAACTTGTAACTTATCAAAAATGAGTGGCAACCAGCAGAAATAGACAGGCTCGTTTGTTTTGTTGTGTTTGTTCTGTGATGTTTGAACATTGTTTGCTGGTCAAAATTCCTCTGCATGTAAATTTTTGAGGAACCCTTAGTACATCTCTGCATCACCTAGGGTACCTTATGACTTCTCTGCCCAATAATATAACCCTATAAAGTATTTTCATTGTAAATTGCATATATATTTAGGAGTACAAAAAGTAAGTTTTGAATGGGATCACTAGAAATTTACATATAGATACAGTGAAACTCTGTCGATGACAAATTCTTAAGCAGTTTTCTGGTATCCTCTGTCATTTATTTCACAAAAGACCATGCTCAGCAATGACCCGCTCATTCCAAGGATGTGTGAGTGTAAGCAGGTAGGTACATGTCATATTTGAAAACATGCCCATTGTCACAACCGTAACTCAAACCAAAGTTTTAGGGGCTTTAAAGCTTCTTGAGAAACTCTGATCATTGCAAATGGAAGTACACTCTTTTTTTATAAGAACAATTTTATAAGAACACAAGCCTCAAAATTGGTCAAATGTTAAGAACGAATCAAGAACAAGCTGAGGTTTAGCTTCTGCAAAATGCAACTTTGAACAACCTTTTTTCTCAAAATTGAAGTGCTTTTGATTTCTTTTTTGGTAAATATTCAAACCTGTCGACAAATGAAGGCTGTCTCACTCACTTTGTTGGCAAATGAGGCCTGACTACCTCCTTAAAGTGAAAAAGTTTGCACTTGTGCTGCTTACACCCTATTAAATTAACAACAAATTAAGAACAATCATACCTCAGATTTTCGACAAAATTAAGAACAGTCAGCCTGAACTTAAATTTATTGGTTCTTATAGAAAAAAAGAGTGTACTGTAATGTCCAAGTAAAGTCTAGATATGTATATGGATGTGTATGTATGTTGTTAGTTTTGTCCTTATTCCGATCATAACTCTTTCTAAAATCCGGAAAATCATTGGACTTGGACCCCTTACAACTGAACACCCTTACCCCTTGAAAACTACGGCTCTGATTTACCCCCGTTCTTTTTGAAAAACCATTGTTCTAATTCAAATCTCAAGTGTACAGGTTGTCATACGGAACCAGGTAAGAAACCAGTCTTAACTTTATTCACTTAACAGCAATTTGTAACCAATTGTCTACTTTTTAAAATGTGCTTTATTTGCATTCGCTCTAATTCACGCCAAACATTGCCTTCTCCTCTCTAATTCACCCCAAACACTGCCTTCTCCTATCCACATCCGACACGACATGCTCAAAACAAGTGCACAGCAATATCTCCGATAGCAGATAGACCAGTCCCTACTCCAATCAGACGAGCCAATGAACCTTATTTTTCAAAACAAATCCTTTGATTCTGATTGACTCACCATTTACTTTCCTCCACTCTTTCAATTTCACTTCCCAATTTGATCAATTGCTCTTTTTGTGATTGCCTTCCATTTCCCTGGAAACTCTACTCCTGTGCAGCGGTCCCTTTGCAAATAGCTACGCAACAAAATTGATGGATTTTGCTGCCGCGCGACAATGGCCAACAACGGATACCTATCACTGATACCTATTCCACATTGGCGCACGCAGTTTAGGGAATTTTGGTTTGCTGACTAAGATACCCCGACCAAAAATTATCCCGAAATTATTTCTATATCCACGTTTTGGAGACTTCGCTCACTTTTATATTTTTTTAAACTTTAAGTTTCGTCAACCAAAACTCCTTTACATCAGACACAGAATAATCGCACGCTGGCATGAGTTCTTACAGGCATCAACATCTGACAACATTTGTTGACTATTACACGAGACCCGGCATTAAACTGCAGAATCATGTCACATGATTTAAACATGATTTCGTGTTGGTCATAGGCGTAGACTTGCATTCTTTTCAGGGGGGGGGGGGGGGGCTCAAAAAATTAATCACAATTCCTAATGGCAGCTGCTGATGTCATAGGATAGAAAGTGGATTAGCTAAGGGCTTAAGGGTGATTTTTCCGTGCATTTTTCATTATCGAGGAAGAAGAAACACACAAATGAAATGATTGAAAGTTTATTTTTAAATCGTAATCAGTATCTTTAGGTTGAGATAATCAGTTCTATTTAGGCACCCAAAATGTTTATGCGTGGAACCAATAATATTAACAAACTAATCTAAAAATTGGTAAAGCAGCCCTCAGTTTTCGTCAGAAAGGGCTAAAGCCCCAGAGCCCCCCCCCCCTGAGTTTACGCCTATGGTGTTGGTCAAGGCCGGTTTCCATTTGACATTTTTTGTGCGCGCGGGGGTAGTGCCCATATCTGAGCATGCGTAGTTAAAATCAAGTGGTCTCGATTTTGCGTCCGCTGTGAGCGCCAGAAAGTTGAGACCACTTGACATGCTCAGATTTGGGCGCTACGCCCGCGCGCACAGAAAATGTCAAATGGAAATCGGCCTTAAAAAAGGGCGGGAAAGTTTGGAAATAAATCTTTAATATGGCGGCAGACGATCCAAGGAAGCAGTGATTGATCTGATTCTTACACCTGGATGCATAACATTAAAATGTACATAAACGTATATATATATCAGCTATTCAAGTTAAAAGTTGTAGTGAGGATGTCGAAGATAGAATCATAGAAATTGTGTTCTTTGGAAATTCAGGACAATTAGAAATCGATTTTTTGAGAAAAAAGACAATTTTATCATTAATTTCATCCAACTCGCAAAAATTATCGGTTTGCATGGCACTTTAATGTTGGAACGAAGAAGAACAATGGGCAAAATAGGAAATTGCAAAAGTTAGAATTTTTCGCGTTAACTTGAGTGGTTGATCTCAAAATAAATGATACACTAGCAATGTTTACATTTTTATCTTCCACTTCATTTGTAAAAATTTTCCTTCCTCTGCTTGTCTGAAATTTACCATTAAAATGCTTTTTATCAATTCTAATTTTTGCTTTATTGGACGTTTCAATTGATGATTTGTTTGCCTTGAGAATCCAGCAGCTGATTAAAAGCCTCCAGTTTGCTGCTTACAATCGATTTTTGCCGATATTCACTGTAAAAGTATAAATGCTAATTGATTTTGTAGCGAGAAAAGCAAATCAATTCATCCTGTGATGCCAAGGCACATGGCACCTTCCCACATTCGTGTAACTAGAGTTGGTTAATAAAGTTTAACGAATTTTCTTACTAAGAAGACAATAATCTATCTGGATTTCGAGCCAACAAGTGAGTTCTCAGCATGGTTACAAACTCATTCAACAGCGAATTCTACCGACAGATTTTTGCAGAAAAGTTTCCTTTTGTCAGCTGGATAAGAAACTACAGTATTCTGAAACTTCAGGGTGACTTGATGGCCGGTCTAGCTGTTGGTTTCATGGTTGTTCCCCAATCATTGGCATTGTCAACCGTTGCAGGACTTCCAGCACATTATGGTCTTTATTCCTCGTTTCCTGGACCCCTCGTTTACTGCTTTCTTGGCACCAGCAAAGACATAAACGTTGGTCCAACACTATTGGCTGCCATGGCAACAGCTCGTTACGATGATTTGCATGAGCCCCGCATCGCAACCATGATGGGTTTCATTGCTGGAGTAATATTACTTCTGGCTGGCCTACTTAAACTTGGCTTTATCGTTCGGTTTGTATCTGCCCCTGTTTTTAGTGCTTTTATTTTTGCGACTGGGATTTCGGTAACTATTAACCTGTCACAGGACCTTCTGGGGCTTCCACCTGGGCCTAGACCATTCTTCCAGCGGCTCTGGCATATTTTGACGAATTTAAAGCAAACCAGACAGTGGGATGCTTTGCTTGGCATTTCGTGTCTTTTGACATTGATTTCCTTAAACATGGTGCACAGGCAGAGCGATCAGAAAGATGCTGGATCAAAGTCAACGCGCAGCAAAGTCTTCAGAGTTCTAAATATTGCTAAGAATTCATTGGTTGTGACTCTTGCAACAATTATTTCGTATCTTGTATACATTTCGGGACAGCAAAACACTTTTAAACTGGTTGGAGAGCTACCTAAAGGCTTTCCTCGACCTGAGGTAAGTTTGTTCATTACGGCTATTCATTACTTTTCATTACGGCAAAAATTGAAAAAGTGGCACCCAAGTTTGAAAAATACTCGAATCCTCGGTTTTGAAGCAAAGCCTTTGAATCCATGTAACGAATCCATGTAACGTACACGAAGAATATCACTTTCCAATAACTTAAGCGTACTGGCATAAAAGTAAGGTAGAAATATGTTGTTCTTGACTGATTTATAGTCTTATCGAAATTATTCTGTGGAACCTTTTATGACAGGACTTAATCAAAAAGACGTATGCACTGCTCAATAAGTTCCTTTTCTTTCTCTGACTCTTCAACTAGTTTGGAAGCGAACTGTTGCTGATTGGAGGGACTAAAAAAACCATTTTCACGCGTCTTTATTCCTTCCACATCACTTTCGTTCCATACCTGGGCGGATGTTTTCTGCTTATCTTCAGTCATTATTGGTAGATCTAGCTATCAACGCTACCCATCTACCTATTTATTATTTTAAACACCCGTTGTTAGTAATGGCGTATAAATATCTACGCCTGTAATAGTAGCGCAGGTTAGCGCAAATTAAAATGTAATCAGAAAAATGAACTATATAAATAACTAATGGATATCTACAAACAATGAAAAACTCATAGACGTTTCTACCAGGGGGCCAAGCCCCCCCCCAGAAAATTCCTTGATCCCTTGCTTCCGCCCAAAATTTCCAAAAGTTACTATTAGCAGTTTTATGTCTTCTTCCATAACTGTTCAATGATTTTTAGACTTTTTTAGGGTTTCTCTCTTCTATTTTGCTTAATGTGATTCTTTATTGCACTTATTAAACAAGCTAGGGGCTCTGACGGTGGGTTGCGCGGGGTGAGTCCAACGCAAGCTTCTCCGCGTACCATTTAAAACCCAGCGTCGGAAAATACAAATACCATCTCAGTATACCTTGGCAATCTACCTTTCCGTATTGCATTTCCATAATTTAGAATTCTATGTAACAGAATAATTTCACCAATCAACTTTACAAAGCTATTTAGCCTTTTATTTTTAAAACTATAATTCCTCTGTTGATATTCTAGTCTTCGCGTATTATTGTTAAACATATAAAACTCAGTGGAGTAACGAACAAAACTTCCTTTGGTTAAAAGAACGGAGGGTCCCCACCATTTAGGGAACCCCCTAAAACATTGCTTCTTTTGTTATTTTTCCTAGGGAACGCAGCTTTCTTTGTTACGCTACTAATAAAACTATTGGGCATAGTGATAAAAACAAGCGAATATTTTTTCGCATCTTCAATTGGCTTAAACCTATGAATGTTTTAGATATTTAAATGCAGTTTCAGGTCATCCCTAGAATGAAATAGTTCCAAAACGTTTCTTGTCAAAAGCCACAGCGGTGTCCTTTAGAAAATCCTTGATTGATCTTAACATTGAAATTTCATCAAACCTGGTAGAGTTGTACCAAGGCCATACTTTTCTAGTGGGCACCAAATTTGGTGTCCTGTAGCCAATTTTGAGCCAGTAGGCCACAGCTTTACATTCTACTTGCTCGCAAAGTAAAAGCTAGCGGTGGCTCCCGGCCAGGCTCCCCCCCCCCCAGATTTTTAAGGCTTGATTTGCCACTGGAAGACTTCACAGAAAAATTACAAGAAAATATGAAAGCTCTGGCATTTTTATCATACCAAATGGAAATGTTTTTTTAATTTAAGAGTAATTGTAAAAGCTTTAGATTACATGTTTTATTACAAGTTTCTTGTACCTTATAATATTTAGAGTCCAGTGCAGCAAATTCGTATATCTGCCAACCATACGATGAACTTTGAAGATGTGTTGTCGTCTCTGGGTCCTGGTATTGGAGTCCTGCCCCTAATCATGTACCTGGAAAGCATAGCAGTTGGCAAAGCCCTGGGGACAAAGAACAACTATGATGTAGATGCATCTCAAGAACTCATCGCCGTTGGTGCCAGCAACATTGTCGCCTCTTTCTTTCAAGCTTTTCCTATAACAGGCAGCTTCGGAAGGTCAGTGGTCAACAGCGTGAGCGGTGCTGCCTCGCCTTTGTCAGGTATGACGCTTAAACATTCAAAGCTTGGTATTTATTCTGCCTTAAAATTTATAAATCAGCTTTTATGGCTTTTGTTAAGTCCTGATTAAAATTCAAGTTAAGTGACATATTAAGTTCATTCTGCCACCTTGTTTAGTCGCAAAAACAGTTGATCGGAGTAATAAACGCATTGCGAATAAAATTTACTCACTGTCAAGTTCAGTTCGTTCTGCCACCTTTAAGGAGCTTTTTACATATAGGCAGCTGAAAGTGCAAAAATATCAAAATTTTATCTGAAAACTTTCAGGAAATGATGAGTGTTTTGATCAACTCGTGTGATCTATATGGTTATAGGAAACAAGAAATTGTGATCAATGATATTTCCCCTAACAACTGAACCTTTTCCATAAATTTGATGTCCTTTCAAATTCTTATGCCACATAACTGTTCAAGAAACTCTTTCTTTCTTCCGATTACTCTCTTTACTTCTCATCAGGAATTTAGGGTTACAGGTCCATATTAATGAAATTACCATCAAATCTACTTTTCGCAAGAACGATTAATTGGCATTTCAGTCAGATCAACATTTGTTCGGAACCAATTTCTAACTTCAGACCAACAAGCCAAAGTTAACGATGAAAGTGCCTAAAAACATGTCATCAGAAATATTGCAAAAATGTAACTTCTAATTAGTGCACCAAATAAAAATTTGTGGATTTAGTCATTTTTTCTGAAATTGGAATTCGTTTCACAACCAAAGCATTCATAGTATAGGGAAGCAGTCATTTTTTCCGAGATGAAATCAGGTTGCTAAAAAATTGTTGACACAGAAACACGTAAGAATCTCTTGATGCTTGCCCAGAATTCGGGGGGTCTTGATCTTGTTAAAATTGACTTAGACAGTTTACTGTCTTAAATACATAGTTCTTGTTTGTTTAAAAAAAGTTTTTGTTTGTTTAAAAAAAAGTTGAATTAGGGAAACAGAATCTAATACAAACGCTAACTTGTTAAGACAATCCTCTGACACTCCTCCTGGTACAGAACGTCAGGACAAACGTTTTCCTTTGTATTTTCAGGCGTTTTCAGTGCTTTGATTGTCATCATGGCTTTACAGTTTATAACCCCCGTCTTTCAGTACATTCCAATCACGATTCTTGCTGCCATGGTAATAGCCTCGGTGTTAAGTATGGTTGATCTGAAAATGCCCCAAGAGTTGTGGAAAACCAAGAAGATTGAGCTACTACCATATATGGCCTCATTTTGTGCCTGCTTTTATGAGTTGGAAGCTGGTATTTTAGCTGGAACATTAATGAGTTTGTGTTATCTATTATACAAGCAGATGAGGCCGAATGTGCTTATAGAACAAGTGGAAGCGGCTGTTTCTGTTTTGAGAGTTCAAGGAGACCTACAGTTTCCGAGCACAGAGGACCTTATCGGAAAGCTTATCAGCCTGCACAAGCCAAAGAACGGTACCCAGAAGAAATCCTTTGAGCAGATGGAAATCAGGATCGACTTCTCAAATGTATTTGGAATTGACCATACTGTCGCATCAGCATTGAAGAAAGCAATACATGAGCTTCGAAGACACGGGGTCAAAGTGACAATGGTAAATGTAACCGATCCTAGAGTGAAGAATATTTTGACGAAAACTGGCCTTACGTTGCTCGAAAGCGGAAAAAGAGACATTGATTCTGAGTCAAAGGATTTCCGATGCTACGAGACTAATGTGTGATTACCAATTTAATCATTTACTTAGTCTACGTTGCAATGAATTGAGGATTCCTATTTCAAATGATATCTTTAAATATATATTAGAATTAGAAAATGAAATACAAATGAATTGGCAATATTTTTAATCTGTATTTTGTAGGGTTGTTCTGCTCTACTTTCGCAGTACATTTCTTTAGTAGGATTCGAGGAACAGGGCAATCATTGTCATTTTATTTTCATTTTTCATTTTAAGCAATTATTGTCGTGAAAATTACACACAGATTTGCTAAGTGTTTTAGATTCCTCCAGGCTTAAAAGTTGGTTGATTAACTCTGTTTGTTTGTATCTTGGAAAGCAAATTTCAAGTTTCACAATAAGCGAATCGAAGTGAAAGCACTCGGTTCTTATTGAAACGGCATCACGGTAATTTAACAGTTACAGTGCATCGAGGCCGAACTATGTAGAGCGTTTTTGATGGAGCTCGGACGCTCTGCATCTCAAAAGAATGTCCTCAACGGCATTACACTTTTTTATGCTTATGCCCTTATGGTTCACCCCAGAGATAAAGTTTCAACCTGATTACGTTTCACCCTTCAAAATGTCTCGGAAGCTGTTTTCGTGATGTTCCAAAAAACTCTCTCGTAACGTCGGGAGGACTATTTGATTATGTCCCAGAATCTTCTTCCGTTATATCCCGAAGGACGATTTCTTAATGTTCCAAAGGGCTCCCTATTAACGTCCGGATGACTATTTTATTATGTCCCAGACTCTTCTTCCGTTGTATCCCGAAGGACGATTTCTTAATGTTCCAAAGGGCTCCCTCATAATGTCAGGAGGACTATTTTATTATGTCCCAGACTGTTTTTCCATTGTGTCCCGAAGGACGTTCTCTTAATGTTCCAAAGGGCTCCCTAATAACGTCCGGATGACTATTTTATTATGTCCCAGACTCTTCTTCCGTTGTGTCCCGAAGGACGATTTCTTAATGTTCCAAAGGGCTCCCTATTAACGTCCGGATGACTATTTTATTATGTCCCAGACTGTTTTTCCATTGTGTCCCGAAGGACGTTCTCTTAATGTTCCAAAGGGCTCCCTAATAACGTCCGGATGACTATTTTATTATGTCCCAGACTCTTCTTCCGTTGTGTCCCGAAGGACGATTTCTTAATGTTCCAAAGGGCTCCCTATTAACGTCCGGATGACTATTTTATTATGTCCCAGACTGTTTTTCCATTGTGTCCCGAAGGACGTTCTCTTAATGTTCCAAAGGGCTCCCTAATAACGTCCGGATGACTATTTTATTATGTCCCAGACTCTTCTTCCGTTGTGTCCCGAAGGACGATTTCTTGATGTTCCAAAGGGCTCCCTACTAATGCCAGGAGGACTATTTTATAATGTTCTTTATTATTCTTCCATTTTGTCAAAGAGGACCCTTTCATTGTGTACCTGGCAGGGGCGTTGTGGCTCCTAGAAAAGGGCCGGGAGAAAATGATCATAAGGCGACCCGCTCATTGGTATGACATCTCTAATCACAAACCACAGGTCGCCAAAAATGGTACGCACCTGGAAATCATGCACCTACGACAAATTACAAAGATTTTAAAGATTCGTCTGCTATATTTGTAGGGGTATATCTCCTTTTCTTTAACCATACTCCCTTTAAGACTGCAAAAAATGTGGATAAAATCCAGTGCTGTAGTGCACACTTAACACAAACACAAACGCGATGGAGAACGTCTGTGCACTCGAGCGAAGCGTGCAGAAAATTAGCTTGAAAATTTTCGTTTACCGTTTACCACGTTTTACAATTTTTAGGCATACTTTTTTGCATTTTCGTTAAAATTCAGTTGTTAAATTGGAATTCCTTGCTTTAAGGGGCTCTCTAGACCTCGAGGCCCCTCCTTGTCCTCCTCCTTGCGGCTCTGTTCATATTCCACGCATCTCTTTTACAGGGTCCTATTTGTTTTTGTTGACCTCCTTTGATTTTGAACTGTAAACTTGAGTCTACATGTAAGTGAGGGGTTTGTTCATATTAAGTATTTTCCGGGGTTTTACAAACTCACTTTTATGGGGCCAACCGGGAAATCTCCCGGTGTCCCGTCTAGCCACAACGCCCCTGGTACCTGGACAATCTCCCATAACCCCTAGAGAAAATTAAAGGCATTGAGTCATGGTTAATAGGCCTTCTCTATAGGGGGTCATTTGGTTTCGGCGTGATCGCTGCTGTTTCATGTGATATTTGCATCCGTTGTTGACAACTTGCTATTGATAAAAATCGTTTTGTCAATCAGTACGAGGTTGACCAGCTCAAGGTCAACCAATAGCATCGCAGTCATGAAAATCATGACTCAGCGGATTTTGGCGCTCAGGGTATACCCAATCCATTTTATCATGACTCAATGCCTTTAATCCTGAAAGAATTTTTCACCGTGCGCCGTAGGACAATATCATATTTTTGGCGAAAGAGTTTCACAGTACTGAAGAGGACATCTTCATAACATTTCTATAACCTCCTTGGAGATATTTTTCAAACGACTGACTTAAATCGCAATATTTACCCAATCGTTATAGCTCTGAAATTATCAAAACCTTGATCTAATTATAACCTGTTTTTTCATGAAAATCATACTTCAAGAAATGCTTTGATACATATCAAACATCAGCCTCTGATGAAGCAAAGAATCTGTGACGTTATTGGGGGCCTAGTATCATGTGGATTGATTCACAAAAATGGCCATAGAGGTGGAGTTGCCTACAATTTTAAAGATCTAAGTTTCTTGCTAACAATAACAAGTAAATAACGAAGGTAGATTAAATGTATATAGAGATGGTTAATTGATCGTCATCGATGATGAATGGCTAGGCCAAGTCAAAGAAATTACCAGCAGCTTTCTAACTCTGGTTCAAAACATGTAGAGACAAACACTATTATTTGCTGATTGTATTAGATCAAAACATTTCTAGTCCCTAACTTTGCTTTCGCCTAATACAACGCTCGCTTTTGCTCCATTCTATTGCTAGCAACATCAGCAACACCTCATGACGTCACTTGACGCAACATCAGCTACACCTCCTGATATTCACATTCTATCTTTCGAAAAAAAGCGAAAAATTTCAGACACAAAGATGACTTTGGAGCTTAGAATCTCTTTGGGCTTTATGTTGGTCAGCATTCAAAGCCCACAAATAATAACCCGTGTCAAAGAGCCCTTGAGACCACTAGGAAGCATTCTTTAGTGCCGCGCAGTGGATCATACGACCACTTGCGGCAATCATTTTGGTGACGGTGAATTGCATTTGCCAACGTATATCGCTGCTGAATCTGAATCATGATCTCTTTTAGGAAAATTTTAAGAAGGTGATTCAGAAGGTCATTTGAATTAAAAGATTTTCAAAAGTATTGTATATACCTTTCTCTCCTATAAACTGGGTGACTATGAAAAGGTTGCAAAATGCTGAACTAAGGTGCGCTAAACTGCCTTGTGCCACTGGAAATAGGGAATGCAAACATAAATGCTAGCTCTTCGACAGAAATCATCGGAAATATCAACTTCTTCTACTAAATAGATTCTGACCTCCTAGAAATGGAGAACAAACTGTTCAGTAATCACAAGAATAAGCACTTATTAAAGCCTTAGAAATGGTCAATTGCTGAAAATGATGCATGATGACAACGTTTAGTTCCCTGTTTCGCTGAATGGATGCAAATCCTGGCCACTATTTGATCAGCATTATGTTCAGAGAAACGGTCATTCAGCTCATTGAAGCACATAAGATCTTTGTAACACCTAGAGACAGCAGACACTCATTAATATCCTACGCTTACAAAGGTATTAACTGCGAGTTTCAAGTTTATCAAGTTCTAGGCAACTGTTTAATCCGCTGCTAGCAGTTGCAACTTGAAACCGTCCGGTTCTATCTGTTCGGTCCAGTCCAAAGCGTATATACAGCAATGCCGTAACAAGGAGGGGGGGGGGCAGAGCAAGCAGCTGTCCCTATAAACCCTTGACTAAAGGGGATAGAAAAGGAGACAGAAAGTGACTTTTTGGTGTCAGTGCCATGGAAATCCTAGGGTCCAGTGAATAATGAATGCCTCATGATCATTCTTCACATGGCTTTCTTACATAACTTACTTGTCTGTCAAATGTTTAGATACCATTATATTAATAATTGACGAAAAATCTTTATCACACTAAGGCCCAACTTGCTACTGGAACTTGGCCTGGTTCAAGGGACTGGTTTACGTTAGAGGATCAACGTCATTTTCCTCCCGTCCTCTTTGAAACTTCGAACAGAAGATTAATCTACGACTAAATATTCTACTTAAAAATTACTATTAGACAAAACGAGTGAAAGCAAAGCAAAGTGCCATAAAATCTTTGATGTTTTCAAAAATTAGATAGAAATCTTTGATAGAGCATCAAATTAGGATATAAATTGATGTTGTTCTAAATAATACTGTGGCGCATGGTAGCAAAAAATTCTTATTTAGTACCCACTGACCCCCTTTTCTTTTCTCGACTCACTTGCCTCATCTTCATGCCTTCGGTTAAAGGTTGTCCCCTCCTTGTCATACTTCAGACACCCCTGAGTATATAACAGATCGTTGAAACAGACGTATACATTAGCTCAATACAAGGACCGCGCAGCAGATTGAAGGGCTAAGATGTTTTCTTGGGAGGGGGCTAAACATGCTAAAAATCAGTGGCCGTAAGCAATTTTATCCATATCGAAGTATATTTTGAAAGTTATTGGGGGGGCCAAAGCTCTTTTAGCTGCCCTCCCCCACCCCGCTTCCGAAGTACCTGGCTCAATATAGAGACAGTTCCTTCGCTGGAGTTGATCAAATTCGATTTACTTTGAAACTGGAATAAGAGAGTACATAAAAACATGTTTTACTGTTCTCCTAGCATGGATTTAAAAGATCATTGGAGCAAGTAAATCGCGTGGTCTGCTTAAAAACTCTCGCTAACGAATGAATATTAATACATTTCGCAATTTAAGCGATTGTAAGTTGAATGAAAAATAGAATAATAATCGGATAAATAATGCGTAATTTTATCAAAGAGGATAAAAATATCATAAAAGCAATTTAAAAATACACATTTTCGAAACTTCCATTTTTAAATATTCAATTTAAAAAGTGCATAATGGGCAGCGTAGCATCTATCGTTGTTCGATCTTTCTCTCAACAAACTTAACCCGGATTGGTTTGTCCGGAATGTTCACACCTCGGAAATAGTTATCAACGACATGCCCAGGCGGTATTTCCAATGTGTACCGGTTCAATATCTTGATAAGCAGTATCTGAAGCTCAAGTTCCGCTAAGCGACGACCGAGACACATGCGGACCCCGTGCCCGAACGGTATCGAAGCATAAGCGGAATGTTTTGTAGCAGACTCCATCCTGAGCCATCGTTCTGGGACAAATTCTTTTGCATTCTCAAAATAATCCTCACTGCGGCCCATAGCATGGTGCATAAACGTTAACTTAGTGTTTGCAGGTACGTGGTATCCGGACAAAACGACATCGTGCTCCAGAACTCGGCTTGTTAAAATAAGGACCGGGTAGAGACGTAATGTCTCCTTCACAGCAGCTTTCACCAAGCTCAGCTGTTGAAGTGATTCAGCGGTTGGCTCTTGTCCTTGCGGCAGAACTCTTGAAATCTCTTCTCTGATACGAGATTGCGCGTGCGGGTTTTTAGCAATCAAGTACAGCATCCACTGCATCGTGTTGGACGTCGTGTCTACGCCTGCAAACAACGTGTCCACTATACTCGACCCAACCTCGTCCTCTGATATCCTATCAGAAGACAGCAAAAATGGTATGAGTTCGTTCCTAGTATCGATATCCTCTCCACGTTCCCTTCGCTTGGCAATGTCTGACAGCTTCTCTTCGATAAGTTCCTCTGCAAATTTATACAATAGCATAAAATTGTGATCAAAATCCTTGAATGCCTTCGTTTTGTAATATTTATAGAAACGAGGAGGCGTGAAAGAGGCCACTGAAATGGAATCAAGGAAACGACCAACTGCCTTGATGAAATTCGTAGCCCTTTCTGGCGGACTGTCGCTTAGCGCATAAAATCGACGATCAAACAGAAAATCCGCCACCGTTTCAAACGACCATTTGAAGAGCTCCATATCAATTTCATCAACTTCAAAGGTATTGCTGTCCCTTACTTTTGAAATACGCTCAACCATTTCTGAAGCAATGCAGTTTATTCTTGGAATATACTGGTTCACTTCCAATGGGCGCAACATCTTCTTGGACATGAGCGATTTGTGCTTGTGCCACTTTTCACCGTTGAGAAAGAAAACTCCGGGCTCTTTAGATCTGCGAGCGTAAAAGTTATCGATAAGCGGGACATCGAATCTTCTTGGATATTTTGAGTCGGCTCGGAATACGGTGGCCACGTCTTCGGGATCAAACAGCCAGACATGCTCCTGTTGTCGTACGAAGACTCTCTTTGCGATGGGACCGTAGTCTCTGAAAGGAAAAATTTAGTGAGACTATTAAGACAGCTCCTTTGCGTAAGATTTTATATTAAGTTTAATGCAAAGAACTTTGCTATTCCGCTATAGCCAAGCTAAAAGCCTAAAAAACCCTGAAGGATTGAGACTAAGCCGACAATCAAGGTTTTCAACCAGCCCATTGATAATTGTTATGAGTTATGTAAAACCAAACATTTATAATAATGATAAGGCCATTTAATACCCACTTGCATGGATAATTATATCAACGTTATGTCAAAGCGAAGAGCCTTTGATTGCAAAAACCCAGCTGTATGGATGGAGATCCATGCCAATACTTTATTTTGTGCCTACCCCTCCCCCCCCCAACCCTCACGAATACTCGATTATGGTAGTGGAAAAAGATTTCACTATTTGCCCTCAGCACCAACCCTGCCCCTCCTGCCTTGATCTTGTGCAGGCGTCTCTTTGGCTTTCTATTCTTTTAAAGCCCAGACCCCTCTAATTATTTCAAAAACTATATGCTGTAGGAAATTTAGCTTGGAAACAACAAAATATGTCAAAAAATTGCAAAGCTTGGACTAGTACCATCCTTCAATTCATGTAACATGTAACAAACAAAGGTTGGACTAGTACCACCAGTAACAATTCATGAGAAAGTCGCTGCGCGTCCATTAAAGAGAAAGTGATAAATCTAGAAAATTGCTAAGTTTTACAGTTTTACATTTCTTATATAGGAAGAGCTCATGCATCCATAGCCCCCAAAGTTTTTTAATGTTAAAATGTTTTCAATTAAATTAAGTGTCCTTTTTGTTTAGTTAGTGGTGTGGTAGTTTTAAACATCATGTCAATAGATAAAAAAATTTGAAACTCAAATTCATTGCTGCAAATTTTTCTTCCATCATTGCACAAATTGGTCCTCACTGCACCTCAAAATATTGCCTGACGAGGACTGTGCTATGGTTGAGGGGGGGGGGGGTAAAATACAGATACCCCTTTTATCTGGCAGGAGTGAAATGACTGATAAGGCAATTAACTCTGTTCAGAACTACTTTGGACTAGCCATAAATCAAAATAAAGGTGAGCTGTACAAGATGAAGAAGCCATTGCAGGAGTGAAATGACTGATAAGGCAATTAACTCTGTTCAGAACTACTTTGGACTAGCCATAAATCAAAATAAAGGTGAGCTGTACAAGATGAAGAAGGCCATTGCAGGAGTGAAATGACTGATAAGGCAATTAACTCTGTTCAGAACTACTTTGGACTAGCCATAAATCAAAATAAAGGTGAGCTGTACAAGATGAAGAAGGCCATTGCAGGAGTGAAATGACTGATAAGGCAATTAACTCTGTTCAGAACTACTTTGGACTAGCCATAAATCAAAATAAAGGTGAGCTGTACAAGATGAAGAAGCCATGCAGGAGTGAAATGACTGATAAGGCAATTAACTCTGTTCAGAACTACTTTGGACTAGCCATAAATCAAAATAAAGGTGAGCTGTACAAGATGAAGAAGGCCATTGCAGGAGTGAAATGACTGATAAGGCAATTAACTCTGTTCAGAACTACTTTGGACTAGCCATAAATCAAAATAAAGGTGAGCTGTACAAGATGAAGAAGGCCATTGCAGGAGTGAAATGACTGATAAGGCAATTAACTCTGTTCAGAACTACTTTGGACTAGCCATAAATCAAAATAAAGGTGAGCTGTACAAGATGAAGAAGCCATTGCAGGAGTGAAATGACTGATAAGGCAATTAACTCTGTTCAGAACTACTTTGGACTAGCCATAAATCAAAATAAAGGTGAGCTGTACAAGATGAAGACAGGGGCGGCGTGGGGTGGTATTAAAGGTATTAGTCTAATACCATTTTATTTTCAAAGGAAGGCGACTTTGGGTCTCTGAGATTGCAGGAAATTTATTTTGCTTTTTGTACGCTGCCACTTTTTCACAACAATTTTATCGATGCGACCAGCTCTATTCATATAGCCAAGCAATATTCGCTTTTCTGTTCGTTGAATGAAAGCTTTCCTAATCCACATTGAAATCTTTGAAAAGTGTAATCCATGCCGTAATCAGCAGCCCTGGCCATGGTATTAGCCTCCAAAAACTAATACACTGCCCCGAAATTTCTTTTGTCTGTTGTGGTCTGCATGACGTGAATTTCTCTTGTTGAGCCATGGTCGAAGAATGGGTGAACAGCAGTAAGGTATTAGTTTTTCATTTCTAATACTACGAGGGCCACTGTCAGTGGAAGGGACGGTGGAAAGAGCCCCAGCTCTATTCTAAGGCCTCAGCTTATAGAAAAAATATTTCTGGAAATTAACTTTATGAATTTACAAAATGTAGCTGTACTTTGCTAGCAATGCCTTTGGATGGATAATTTGATTGACAAAATTTAGACACTGAATATAAAGAGCAACAGTCATGAAATAATTTGTTTAAGCTAAAGGCAGTTGTAAAAGTTGTTTTGTATGAACTGTATGTTTTGTAAAACTTCGATTCTATATGATTGTAGAGTCATAGGCAACATTCTCACATTATTTCTCTCGGTTTCTCAAATCAAATGATACATCTTACGTTTTTTTGCTGCATTACTCTAAAGTAAATCGCTCGCTTTATCGTAATAGAATCTCATTCGCGGGCCAAAAGCCTCATGGTATTAGAATTAATGGGCTAATACCTTGGGGCTCCATTACTGGGCAGCAAACCGCTGTATCAAAACACGATTTTGCTCGAGTAATTTGCCGCAGCCATAATTCATTTGTATTTCGTAGGACCGATCCTTCACCCAAAACTAGTAGGATGAGCTACATTACCACAGGGTCATCAGTGTCTGGGGGGAGACAACGGGGGCCAGTGCCTTCAAATAATTTTGTAAGATATGGTATTGCCAAAAGCTATTTTAAACCATCATATCGAAAAGGTCATTTTGCCCACCTTCTTAAATAAGAACATATAAGCTCCACCCCTGTTAAATAGTTTCAGGACCTTGCAGGGGGACCTTCTTATGTCTTAATTTCGGAGGCTAATACCAATACTTTTCTACTCCCAGCCGCCCCTGGATGAAGAAGGCCATTGCAGGAGTGAAATGACTGATAAGGCAATTAACTCTGTTCAGAACTACTTTGGACTAGCCATAAATCAAAATAAAGGTGAGCTGTACAAGATGAAGAAGGCCATTGCAGC